TGGCTGGCGATGCTTTCTTTGCCTGACGTCCCTCAGTGCAGGTGGCTGCAGTCCTACCTGGTCTCCACTTATCTGCCAGTACTGGAGCTGCTGTGCCCTTTGTGTACACCAGAGCTACTGTCATGACCAGGGTATGTGGGTCTGCTGTTGCCTCTTTGCCACCTGCAAAATCCATGTTCAGACGCTGCTGTGGGTGTCGGGTCACTGAAGTTGTAGCCTCCAAGATCCTGGGTTAAGTGGTCTTCTGGCACTACAGACATCATCTGGGAGGTGACACAACACACATCTTCATTGTTCTTGAGAACTTGACTGGTGTTCTTGGTGAGTCTGAGCCATAGCTGACTGACAGTCCTTTGTCAGTCCATATCTGAGTAAATAACATATCGAGTCACACCTGGTGGGAATAAACTTGTGTTTTGCACATTAATGCAGGCTAATGAGATTAATGTTGCATCACCAAATTTGGCTGGAGTCCCTTGTGGTTGGCTGGAGCATGTTTCTTGTCTAGTATGTTGGTTCAGTTCCTTCTTGATGTGTTTCCTGTCTTCACTGAGTGATGTCTCGTGGCTCTTCTCAAGTGGTTTGTTGGTGTGTCTGCCCTTGATCCACTGCCCAGTGAGCTTTGTTGAGTGCTCCCAGCACAGACTGGTAGATGAGAGCATCCAGCAGTCGTGTCTTTCAGAGTCTGCTATGGAAACATCCGTTTTCTTTTCTCTATTTTCTTGTCCCCTGTGTTGCCCAATTAGAAATTTGCAGGCTCTTTGACCATCAGAAGAGGAGAAAAAAGTGAAAGCACATTTGTAATGCAATTTGTAGTGTGTGCAGCTTGGCCTCTGTGCAGGAAGAGTTATGCTTTGGGTGCACATGGGCATGAAGAGGCTTGGGCTGTAGCGTGTCCATCTGATTCCTTCTGAGCTCTGTTTTGAGCTTTTAGCTTTATTTCTTCCATCACCTTCAGATGGGAGTTATATTTTCAGAGTGGAAGGACCCATTTTGTGACCTAACCTGTCATCTGGGAAGGTTTGTTGCTGCTTCCCAGGGGCTTGTATTGCAGACATTGTAGAGAGGCTGCTGAGCCTCACCTGACTGTATGGATTTTGTCCCTTCTGCTCTTCCACAGAGGCACCAGTGATAGTGGGAGGAGGGACCTGAAAAGTATCAAACCTGACTACATGGCTCTGGGTGATTTTCACTGGTGTGGAGAGAGTGAAGAGCTTGGCTGAGCAGGTCCTGCAGACCAAGGCTGGATTGTGCAACCACTGTTGGCAGCAGGGTTTTGGATTCTACAGCAAATCCCAAGCACAAACAGAGCCTGGGTGGAGAGTGGATTGAGAGCAGCCCTGAGGAGAAGGACTTAGGGGTGTTGGTGGATAAGAAGCTCCACACACCCTGTCCGTGTGCCCTGGGCTGATCCCACAGTGTGGGCAGCAGGGGAGGGGGGGATTCTGCCCCTCTGTCCTGCTCAGCTGAGCCCCACAGGTAGTGCTTTTGTCACAAGGGCAATTGCTGTCAGTGGCTGAGGCTCCCAGGGATCTTCTCTTATTTTTCTCTGTAATTCTCCTTTCAGAGGGTGAGCACAGTGGGGTGTCCTCAGAACAGTGCAGTAATCCCTCCTGTGCCCATCAAAACATCTGTTCTGTGAGGCTGCAACCATAAGCACTGCAGGGGAGGGCAGGGAGTCAGTATAAAGGAACTGAGGAGAGTTCTAGGACTCTCCTCTTAGCCCTTCCATTATTCCCCCCCACAGACTCACAAATTGGGTTATTGGAACAGTGACCCCCAACACAGTGAGAACAGCATCAGCCATGTACTAGGGAGGTAGAAAGAAATCCAAGGGGATGAGCTCAATTTTTTTTCTGTCACAGGCTAAGCTACACAAGGGGACTGATGCAGGAGAACAGAGACGGAATGAGGACAATTAGATGTTCCCCCACCTACACAGGAATTTTTTTATTTTTTTGCATTTCACAGAATATTCTGAGTTGGAAAGGACCAACAAGGATCACAGAGTCCAACTTTTAAGTGACTGGCCCATAGCAGGATTGAACCCACGACCTTGGTGTGATTGGCACCAAGCTCTACCACGATCTGTGAACTCTGCTCCGTACCAGCCCATTTGTCTGAAGGTTTACTGTGTGCATTTCTTATTTCTCTAAAGGCCTACTGCATACAAGTAAAGGTAAAGCACCAGTGAACAGAGTTAGAAAAAGCAGGGGAAAGGGCTATAATTAGTAAAGAACTAAAGATTAATCAACTGCAAAGTTTCTTTTCTCTGCTGTTAAGAGGTGGCAGCCCCATGTTCCTCAAAAACCCCAACAGTGATTTCATTCTAAAGCCTTGCCAAGACTGCCACACAGAGGAGAAAGTGGCTGTTTTCTGCAAACTGGTAATTAAAACAACAAGGAAAAAGAACATCCTGATCAGGTGATGATTAAAGAGTCTCTGGCAGAACAGGGACTATGGTCCTTGCCTGAACAGCATCAGCAGAACTTCTTTCATCTAGAAGATATTACCCTAAACCAGAGGTTTGAGAACAAGATCAAAACTGTTCCCACACATGCAGGGAGTGTCAGGGTCATCCATTACTCAGGACATGCCAGGTCATGTCAGTCAGTAATGGTCTCCCCCAGCTCAGGTGTGGTCACTGTGGGATACTGGAGTGGCAGGCAAAGGAAAAGCATCTGTCTCATGAGACCATGCTCCTGTCTACTGCTTGCCACAGCCATCCTCAGCTTTGGCATGTTCACCTTGGATCATGAACCCATCTACTCTCAAGGTAAAAGTCTCTGGTGTTAACACTGGTGAGCAGCCCCTCCTGCCTGCACCCCACAACAAGCATCTACCACAGTGACAGATGAGGTTTTCTGCCATTACCAAAGATAAGCCAAAAATAACAGAATATTCATTCAGCTTGTATAAATAAATAAATAAATAAGATCAGAGTCAAATTCACACACAATTTAGGCCAACCAACGGGAATTTTCATCTTGAACACCCTGAAAAAAGCAAATAGTCTCTTATAAGCATGTAGAGCTAATATAAAGGTATAATGATGTAGACAGAATGGTACACTGATATCACTGGGCTACGTTTAACTGTGCTTCTACACAGAAGTTGCTTTGGGGTTTGTTTGGGTTTTGTGGAGTTTGAAGGGTTTATTGTTAATTAATATCTTATTTCACACTAAGCCTAATCATTTTATGAATGGAAATTCCAACAGTTAATAAGGAAACTGAATTGTCAGCGGAAAATCCAGTTTACTAAATTGGTCACAAAAGCTAAAGGACAAGATTCTCCCATTCCAGTAAAACCAAAATCTGACAGCCATCTGAAATCTTACTGCTCCCACAGTCCTAAACCACTGTGCACTATCCAGCATTAAAACAATAAAACTACAAAGTTTCCTTCTGTGGATATATGTAAAGAATAAAAAGAACTTCCAAAAGGGATGGGGAAAGTATTTAACAAAGGCGGTTCAGAGAAGAGCTGAAGCGTCAGTGTCAAAGAAGAGCTCGATGAAAAAGTTTGTTATAATGTGTCTACAGATTAAGACATTTTTGAAGTCTGGATGAAAAAACTCAAGGGCAAAGTAACCAAAAGATTCCTATCAAAATTCTCAAGTTTATTTTCCGATTACTGCGTCAGAATACTTTTCCAGAATGGGCAGCACATGGAACTGCTACTAGGAGTTCCTTTATGTTCATATTAAAGTTTAATGAGGTTATATCTACGTTGTCTGCTAGTCCTCCTACTCCTGCTACACGTGTGCTGTCAACAGAGTTACATTCTGCCTCTTTTATTTCAAATGAATACTCCTTTTAGTCTCCAGGGATCTACAGCATAGAAGTTCCTTGAACTAGATGTACTTATTCTGTTTACAGCATGATTTCACATGGGGCAAGCATAGTGATGTTTCACGTTTAGAAATATCTAGTTATTTTGAAAACCTAGATGTTACAATATATCATTAAGCGATACAAAGGGACTTCAAAGGTACTTCAGTCTTGGACGTACACTGATTGCAGATACACCAACCATTCCCCAAACGAGACATTATCATATCTGGTCTGTTTAAACTAACCTAATCTAAACCCTCCTCCCACCACCCTGAGCATCATTAAACCAGACTCTTAAAGGGCGAAAGAAGGAAAAAGAAAAAAAATTTAAAAAGCCTACACAGTGGCATAGCAATGCATCCCATCCCAGCAGTTACAGCACGGGCTGTTTTGTTTACTGACAGGCTTTCCAAAGCAGTGCAACTTCAGCTCAGCGCTGGGACCCCGCACCTCGCTGGGGGGTTTGGGCTGGCACAGGATGGGTGGGACTGTCCCCAGTGTGTCACCTACTACATCCTTCCTCCACAGGGGAACGAGAGTCCTGGGGGGAAGCGGACACCACAGAATAGGGAAACGCAGAGCACGGCTTCGGAAAAAGGATCATTTGAGTTTTGCCTCCGAGATCGCAGGAAGCAAATCAGAGCCGTTTACAAGGATTGGATTCCGACCGTTTAGGGGGGGGTCTGTGAAAGATTTCCTCTGGTGAGAGGCAAAGTCAGCCTAAACGCTTTCAAATCTCCCATCCCATCGCGTCAGTCGTCAGGACAGGACACCCAGCACCGCGGTGCCGGGGCGGGACGCGTGTGCCGGTTACGGGGCACCCGAGGGCTCGCACCGACCGCGGCGCCGGCCAGGCCCCGCCCGCCGCAGCCCCGCTCCCGCCACCGAATCCCGGCTTGAGCCGCCTCGAACGCGCCCCTCGGCCCAACACCGCGGTCCAAGAGGCCCCGGCGGCCCCGAGGGCCCGCGCGGGCAGGAGCCGTGTCCGCAGAGCCGCCGCTCCCCGCCCGGCGGGACGCGCATGGCGCGGCGGCCGCAGGAGGAGCCGCCACAGCGCGCCCCGCGCCGCGGGCGGGAACGGCGGGAACGGCCCGGGCCGCGGACCTGCCCCGGCACGGAGCGCCCCAGGGGCCACCGCTGCTTGCCCCTCACCCCCTACCGTACCTCCCGGGTGGTGACCTCCTCCTTCTCCGAGATCTTCAGCAGCAGCCGGTCGTTTTCCAGCTCCAGCGCCCGCACACGGTCGATGTAAACGGCCAGGCGGTCATTGAGCTGCCGCAGCTCCTCCTTCTCCTGCAGCCGGGAGATGCGGGTCGGCGACAGCGGGGTCCCGCCGGGGGTGCCGCGGCTCGGGGTGCCTGACATGGCGCTGGGCTGGCGGGCGGGCGGGCGGCAGCTCATTCAATCCCGCCGCACCGGGGGAGGGAGCGCTAAGATGGCGGGCGGGCGGCCCCTCCCGCCGCGGCGCCGCCTGGGACATGCAGTCTCGGCGCCAAGATGGCCGCGGGGCCGCAGCCGCGCCCGCCATTTCGCGCCCGCTCGGCGGTGGCGGGGGTGGCTCCGATCCTGCCTCAAGGACAGGCCCGGGAGCGGGGCCGATCCTGAGGGGAAGAGGTTTTGGTGGCAATGCCGGGAGGGACCGGGACAACTGACAGGACAGGACTGAGCCTCGCCCGGCTCTGCTCCCGCTGGGGCCGGTGCCCGGGTCCGCCCGCGGGGCTCGGGCCTGTGGGGTGACGGGTTCCCTGACAGGCTGTGTTTGTGTGTTTTCACAGTAGTTCCCTAAAACATCGTCCACAGGCCCGTGTGGGCTGTGTGAGCTTGCCGTGCTTTGCTGTTGGCTCTGCACAGGTCAGCGACCGGCTGTGTGCTGAAATCGGGCGTGGAGAGTCTTGGAGAAAACACGGATCAGCATTTCCCAAGGGCGAGTTTTTAGGAGAGCTGAGCTGTCGGTTTCAAGAATTCAGTAACTTCTTCCTAAGTTTTACTGAGAGGGTGCAGTGCCTCCCGCTCCGGTCGTTCCAGAAGGAAGCTACCCTGAAATCCTTTTGCAGTCCCAGGGAATGCAGCCAAACTCTGTACACGTTAAAACCCACTGAGAAGTTTTCCCTTCCTGAAGATTTGGAGTAGTATTTTTCCCCAAGACCCCAAATTCTGTCAGTTCTTGCACGTTAACTGATAGAAACTGGATTACCATTCGCAAAGCTCTTCCTGCTCTTGGGCCTTTTAGCTACCAGGGAGGGCTGAGAAAAGGGAGATTTTTCTGCCTGAGAGGTACTAAAAACAGACTCGTCCATGTGGAGAGCAAAGAGAAAAAGTAAAATGAGCATGATGCAAAGGTGAGAGGACAGGTCTGGATAGAGAAACAAGAAAGACAGCAAGAAAATACTGCACCCCATGTGAAAAGAAACTTAGGAAGCCAGGGTGAAAAAGTAGGTGTTTGTCCTCAAAACAGAACTAAAACGATGCTTATGTTAGAGGATTTGAGGTTCTAATAACAAGTACACCTCAAACTGAAAAAACCCTGAATAAATCCAGGAATTCTGGATGCTCAATACCCTTGTTGTCGAATAGCTGTAAGTCTCTCTTGCCATCACTGCCTATCTTTAGGGCAAATCACGGGTTTTTCACCTGAATGCATTTGTCTCAAAATGTGCATCCAGTACAAAAAGAGTTGTCCTGGCTCCTCTGCATACAGCAGAGCGCCTGTCCCACCTCTCTGGGGACAGCACTGCCCCTTCACCTTCCGAGACCCAGGGCAGGGATTCCCACCGCAGCCTGTGGAGCCCGGGGTGTCAGTGGGTTACCCGGAGGGAGTTCATGAGGGAGAGCTGAAATGGAAGCGAGATTTTGGGTTTTCCTTCTCCCCCACCGCCTGCGAATCGAGACCATGGCTTTCAAGATTGCCAAGCTGCATCGCTGGATCCAGTGGGTGGTGGCTATATACGTTTCTTTCTCACTCTCATCTTTTCTTTTTCCTTACTCTCCCTTACTCTTATCCTGTCTTTCTCTCCCCTATGCATTTTCTCCCCCCCTAAAAGTTATCTCTATGTCACATTGTTATATGACAACACCCAAAATGCTTAGCATACCTGTTGATACAGAATTGTTAAAATAAACCTTACCAATATATGTTTTCAGACACCGATTATTCAGCGTCGTTTCACTCTAATCCACCCCAAGGGAATTATTGATAAGAACCTGGGTTACCCTCCTCCCCTTTTTCTGGGACGGGTCGTAACATTTTTGGCAGAGACCCTGCCCTTTCTGAAGGCATGGCCACAACCTCCCTGCGCCAGGGTCTCTGCTGGCAGGGGTCTGATGTGCACCTTGGTGTGAAACTCAGCTTTCCGACAGAACTCGAGCCGCTTTTGGCTTGAATTCATCTGGAAAAGGAAGCGGCGACAAGAGACTACAAATCCCAGGGTGCTGCGGCCGCTGCTCGCGGGGAGCTCGGATCCTGCCCCATCCGCCCGCTGCCCTTTGTTGAGCCGCGCTCGGGATTTGCAGGATTCGCAGCGAGTGCAGTGCGTGGTTTGAATTTTGGCGCCTGTCTCCGAACTGTAACTGCTGCTGGGCCGGCTCCAGCCCCTGTCCCTGCCCCAGCCCCTGTCCCTGCCCCTGTCCCTGCCCCAGCCCCTGCCCCAGCCCCTGTCCCTGCCCCAGCCCCTGTCCCAGCCCCTGTCCCTGCCCCAGCTCCTGCCCCCGCGCACTCCGGATCGTCTCTTAGCAGCGCCGTCTTCCCCCGGGCAAACAACAACAACAACAAAAAAATGCCTCTGAGCATCAAGCCGTGCACTTAGAGTGAACTTTTCCCGTCTTTAGTATTCGATTTCCAACACCAACAAATTCGTGGAAGACCAGCTATTAACTTTGGTTGCGTTGAGCCAGAAAAAAAATATTTTAGGAATGCTGAAAGCAAGCCTCTGTATAAGCATTTTTGGGTTAGGTCATTTCTTCTCTTGTGATTTGATGTGATGCTCTGTGCATCTGTCATATTTTAGAAATTCTTTATACCTTTTGCCGATTTTTGATTGATAATGTAATCCAGATGTAAATCCCCTTTGTTCATGAAGTTTAGCCCAAGCTCCCCTATTGTTTTGTCTGTCAAAAATAATTGACAGACAAATATCTATAATTTTGTAGATAATGGCTTAGAAACTTTGAATGTTTCAAGAGTTAGTGTGGTTTGCGTTTGTTTGGGGATTTTTTGCCTTCTAATTTTACTGGGTATTTTCATAGTGCTGCTTTTTACTGTGTTGAAGTAAAATATTTTTTTCCAAAATATACGTCCTGAAATATGCCTCAGTAATAATACCTGATTTTTTTCCTATACTTTCTAGAAAGTCCCTTTCTTTAGCAGTAACCAGAACACTTGCACACTTTCATCCTTGATGCCAGTTTCCCCTCCTTGTTACCTGAACATGTATGTTCACTTTTCCTATCTCTGCTGAAAAGAAGAGAATGTTTTGAGGGTGAGATGGGGAGAAGAAGCATCAGGGAAGAAAGGGAAGTGCAAAAGCTGAGAGCCCACTCACCAGCTGTGTTTTCCAGGGAGTGCAGCACATGCTTTAGTTGTGGAATTGGCATCTGTTCAAATACTGGTCCTCTTGGATGCCTCCTATGACAGGGATTTAATATTGGACCAGGGTCAGTGTGGTTACTCATCTTTCAATATTTAGCAATTAGTTTTTCATCAAAACCCTCGAGAGTTCTTTGCTGCCCAAAACAATTTTATTTACAATAAACTCCTCCTGCTTTGACCAGTTGGAATGGATTCGTTATCACGAGACACAGTAATTTAGTGTTTGCCAAAGGGACAATCTAGGGATGTGTCAGCCCTACCTGGCTGGGGGAGCAGAGGGCTGTGGCAATCCTTGGGGCTGCTTTACTGGGCATTCAGATTGGGAACCTGTTCAGGGCACACTGAGGCTCCTGCCTCACCCACTCTCCCAGGTTTTCCTGTTGTGGAAAGTGGAGCAGAGGAGGAGGCTGGTGCAGGTACAGGTCCCACCCTGATCCAAAGTCAGGAACTTGGAAGAGCCCTGGGCTCAGTATTGAAGCTCTAGCTCAAAGGCACTTGCAACATATCTAACTGCCTGGGTAGGTTAAGAATAAATTTTTGGGATGTCAGACACAGACATCAGGGACAGGCTCTGTCTAGCACTGGAGTGCTTCTCCCATCAGGTAAATGAAGAAATTGGTTCCAGTATGTAAAAGACAAAGGAAACCCTTGTGCATCCTTTCATGCAGAGCACCTTCTCACTCGTTGACAAGTTTCCTGTACATTTGGGTGTAACTAGTTTCCTGATGCTATCTGGGATTTCACAATGACTCTGGGATTTCATAATGACACTTTCACAGATCTGGGGATACAGGATTTCCATTGCTATTTCTTACCTCAGCTGCTTTGGTTTATCAGCAGCTGCTGCCATGCCCTCCCCCTTCTCATTCTACATTTTATATTTGTATGTCTTTAATAGCAGGATTATTTCTGTCTTTTCTGTAGCTGTCTAACTCTCCCCTCGTGTTCCTCCCCTCACTCGGAACAGCCAGACAATGTTTAATTGATTGTCTCAGATATTGTCATTAATTTCAGGAAGGGGCAAGGATTGCCTCAGAACATTTTCTTATCAGTCTGAACTCAACTAGCCTCAGCATTACTGCTCAAAAAAATTGCTAGCAATGACTGCAAGTCTGGAAGAAGCACTCATACCTCACCACAGAGTTCTCCAGAATTTCATCTTTCATTGAATAAAGTTGCTTCCAGCAATGTCAGAGCAGAAAGCACCAAAGCAAGTAGAGAAAATGAACAGTATGCCATGAGTCATGGATGAAACCTTCCTCACTCACTACAACAAAGTTTGCTGAGACGTAAAAAAGAGCAAAGAGGAACAAGGTGCACAGTTGTGGGGTTAAAGCAAACAGCAGACTGTCTGTAGGACAAGGATTTTTTTCAAGACAAGACACCATGCTGTAGAGGGTGTATTTATCTCTGATTCCAGCACATAAAGTTTTGCAGGAACTTTGAACAATAATAATCTTTTGCTACAGCATTTACCTCCTTATCAAGGCGGAAGTCAAGTTATATTACACTGGGGGAAGTATTAACCAGGTCTGGATGGAGAGAATTCCAGTCTGTACTTGGGATTGTTCGCTCCTTTGTGGCAGGAAGGTGAGTGGTGGCCCTTTAGACTCTTGTACCGAAAGAAATGAGAATTTACTTCAAAATATATTTCATATATTCCCCCCATCAACAGAAAAGTGGCAAAGGAAGACGCTGGGGGCTCAGTACTCAGGGCTCCCCAGCTTTTCACAATTCCACTTTGTCGTTCGTCCTCAGAGTGATTTGCTTATAATAGCACCTCCTAAACCCAGCCCCGTCTGCCACACGGGAGCGACACGGAGGTTTCCTGCAGTTCAGCTCCTGCGCAGCCTTCCCCGGGGGGCGCAGAGGACGCGTCGGGTGTGACCCACCAGCCTTCGGGGGAGCATCAGCCACC